CTAAGTGGCCCCAGCTTCTCTGTTACAGCTTTCATGGGCTTTTCAACTACCCCTCCCAGGCTCCAGCAGCCAGGTGTAGAACTGAGGGCCCTGAGGAGGTGTAGCTGAGCTACTTGTGGACTTGGTGCTTAAGCCGATGGAGTCACAAGCATGGTGTGAAGTTGGGGACCAGTGGGCTAAGAACTTGAATCCAGTCAGATCTCTAAAGGTGCTAGGGGCCACACCTTTGATTCCCACAGCAGGGTGGGATGTCCATCTGGAAACCGAGGAGAGACCAGAATACCAGCCTTGTTGCTGTTGTTAAGTGCCGTCGAGTTGATTTCGACCCATAGCTACCCTGTATAGGGTTTCCTAGGAGTTGCTGGTGAGTTTGAACCACCGATCTTGCAGTTCAAACAACTTTGCAGTCTGACGCACCAGCCTACTCTGTACAAATTCAAACTCATATGCCTAGGAGAGCAAAGTGGTAGGGGTCTGGCTTGGACTTTGAGGGTCAGGAAGTATGTTGCCAAGGAATGGGTAGTCAATTTCCTCTCTGGGAAAAGTTTGGAGAATGTGGATGTGGGTATAGCCTCTGAGGGGAGAAAGGGTGGGACCATAGGTGATAGCCTATTCGTCTTCCTCACAGTAAGGTAGAATCCTGGTATGACATTGTGGGTTAATGCACTGGACTGCAAAGTTGGTTTGAACTGCAAGGTTGGCAGTTCAAATATTTGCTCTTTTCCTCCTCGGGACCCCTATACAGGGTTGGTATGGATCGGAGCTGACTCAACGGTACTTAGCAACAACAGTAAAGCAGGCACTGATTATCCTGTGCTTCATGTATCAGTGTCCACAGTGCCTACCAGGTGAACCCATCACCAAGGAGTTGCAGAGCACACTTCTGCCCCTTTTCCTTGGAAAACAAGGGATTCTCGTCAAGTTACCTATCACAAACATTGGCAAGTTGAGCCAGTTAAACCTTCTCAGGACCCTTCTGTACTTCTAAGGGTGCCTGGTATTGGGAATAGAGAGGTAAAGAGTAAATATCTGACCCTCTGTTGCAAAAGACCACTGAAACTGACTTCCTGTCTAAAACCATGTACTTGGAACAGTGTTAACTCTCATACCGCTAACCTTATGCCTTAACCCCTAACCCTTATCTAATTCCCAACTGCAACACAGTATCTAAGGGGCCTTAAGCCCTTAAATCTGCTTCTGTTTTGTTGTTAAGTGCCGTCGAGTCGGTTCTGACTCATAATGACCCTGTATAGTTTTTGAGTAGTGGCTGGTGAGCTTGAACCACTGACCTTGTAGTTCAAACTGACCTTATAGTCCAGCGCATTAATCTACAGCACCACACCAGGGTTCCTGCTTCTATAGGGTCTTCTTTATCAAAACAGTATAGAAATTTGATCTGTTCTAGAATTCTAGGCCACTTGTTTTGGGCTCATGGTTGCCACTTTCCAGGGATCCAGTCCCCTTGACTCTTCTTAGTCTTTCTGCTGAAGTTCTAGTCTTTAATAGGCTAGTTTCCTTTATAGCTCTCCGTTTCTTATCCCTAAACATGTTTCAATTGCAGCTATGGTACACAGCTGGCCAGGAACGCTTTTGAAGCCTAATTTCTAGCTACATTCACGATTTAACTATCGCAGTGGTTATCTATGACATCGCAAGTGGGTGCTATGATGTTTAGGCAGGAGACGATGAGGGAAGCAATACGGAGGTTGATTAAGATTAGCAGAAAGGATGAACAGATACATTCTTCTTTCTAAGCCATTACTAAATTAGCCCTCTGCAACATATTCTCTTACAGACCTTAGTTCTTTCAAAGAGACAGGTAAGTGTGTAAAATAAGGACATAAAGAGATCATGTCATCATCATGTTGGTGGGTAACAAGACTGACCTGAACAATAAAAGATGAGGTAAAACTAGAACTTCTGCATACCTCCAGCTCCATCTCTATGGCAAGAGTTTATTATGCTTTTCACCTGGGGAGTTATCTCCATCAGGAATCAGAACAATCATGGGTCCTAGAGATGCATCATACCTCAGAAAGCTCTGTCCAGGATCAGAAATGGCCTTGTTACTATCTGGTCCCTCTCATCATTTCTCATTTGCTCAGACAAGTCTCTGCACAAGGCAAAGATAAATTCAGAGACCTCAACATGATGTTTATTGAAACCCAGGCCAAAACTGTTTATATGAAAAAACAAACCATTCCTCTTTATGATACCTACACTATATTCTATCTCTAGCCATCAACCACTGCTTACTTTTTTCTATGACCTTGGTTTGTCTCCTGGGGAAGGGGCAAGGTTCATATCGTCATGCAATCCAAAAGTTCTGAATCATCTCAGCCTTTGAACCTAATGTTTCCCCCTTTTTTCCACCAATCATTGTCCACCCTCAGCCCCCAATAGTCACTCTAGCATGTGGCTATGTCCTTACTTTCAAAAGGCATTCACCTCCTTTCTCCCAGTTTTGCTGAGTTGATAGCCAATCCAACTTTTTTTTGCCAGAATGGTACTCAAAATAGGTAATAAGGGACAAACTTTGTGCCATAGTAGCTTCCTGGTTTGCCTTTCGCTGAAGGGGATCAAAAGACCTGAATTCCACATCTGTGTCCTAGAAGCTGCCCCTAGAAGTTGAGGTTTGTCTCCAGTCAGCTCAGTCTATTAACATGCACTTCAACTGTTGAAAATTAGCTGGAGCCCTGTAATGAGTCAGGCACTGAGAGCTGCTGTACAGCATCTGCCTAATATGAGGGATTTATTACATTTGACTTTCCAATACCATTCCTTCCTCCCCCACCCTCAGGTTTACAGTTTTAATACTTGGCCACTTACTAACTCTTCCAATTCTTAGACTTATGATATAAAATTGTATTGTTTTTATGTAGTCGCTATGAGTCAATGGGAGAGAGTTAAAGGAAACCCTCAAAATGCTATCATTTGTCCTTGATTATGTCACATATTATTGGGCGGAAGCTTCTTGAATCACCAAGGAATTCCACCTTACCTTCTTTGATTGTGAAAAGGCATTTATAGAAGATATAGTTCTATGGCAACTTGGATACTTCAAATGCCAATGCAATTTGTTCTCCACTGTTTTCTTATAAACTCCCTCAGTAAATTACTGATCCTTTCATCTGTTATTGCTTACACCTCCTACATGCTATACCTCCTACATGCTAAACCTCCACTAGGCAATTGTATCATGCTGGTGACCTCACAAGAATTGTTCCAAAGTAAGACCAATTAAGTTTTTTGCCTCTTTGATTCATGACCAGGCTGGGGTTCATTTATAACGTTTACTACACTTCCTAGATGAGTTTTAAAACATGTTAACCATAGGGAGAGCCTCAGACTTCACCATTTAGTACATTCAGCCCATAAGCCTTTGTGGAAGTGACCAAGCCTCTATTTTTCTTTTTCAGATGATCACTGGGGGCAGCAGAGCAAATAGGAGCACAGAGTAGAAGGGGATTTCCCAGGAAATCTAGGCAGCTAAGTTACTTCTATCTCCAGTCTGCTTACAAGGGCTGTTACTATCTAAGCCCCTAGAAGAGGTACCTTAGTAGAGCTGGGGTGGGATTTAGAAGAGCCAGATACTACTCATAGAGATGTTACCACTGTTTAGAACCATATTTCCCATATTTGAACAGACTCAACTTGGTTATTTAAAACTTCTCATTTCTAAGCCCCATCTCAAACTAACAGAATCACTCTCCAGAGAAGGGCCTAGACCTAAATCCCCCAGGGTTTTCACAAGGCAAGTTTGGAAAACAAACACAAGCCTAGATGACAAAAGACGAAGCCATTAATTTGGGAGTTTTATTATGGGGTACATTATCCTACACCTCATTAGAAAACTTTCAATTTTGCAGGGGTATTTTAAACATGCCAAAGGAGATGGCGTAAGATATGTCCTGTGGATCTAAGAACATGGAAGGTTATCTGGGGATAGAGTAAAGAAAAAGGGGTAGTCAGCAACCATGAAATAATAATCAACAAATTGGAAATTAGGAACCAAGCCCCTGAAAAGAAATGCATCTAAGCCCCTCCCTTAGTTTATGCTTCAAAGAACTGAGCACACAGAATTGTATTAATATTGTTCCCCACATGGGGGCACTATTTCCCCTAGCATCCTTTGTTGTTAAGTGCTGTTGAGTAGGTTCTGACTCATAGTGACCTTGTAGAGGGTTTTGAGACTAAATCTTTGCATGAGTAGAAAGCCTCACCTTTCTCCCATGCAGCAGATGGTGGGCTTGAACTGCTGACCTTGTGGTTTGTAGTCCAGTGCTAACAAGCATGGAGCCACGGCGCTCCCCTAGTACCCCTTCAAGGTCAGAAGTAGATAGTTGTGAAGGAAGTATAAGATTGTTCTGTTCTTTCCAGTGGCTCCTCTCTTTGGAACAGCTTCTTCTTGACCCAATAGCATTCTATACTCAATCAGTATCATTCAAAAATCACATCAACATTTCCTCAGCATTGTATTTTCCTTCTTTTGGGAGCATATGAGAGGAAGAGCAGAAAAGCACAATCCCACTGGAGTCTCAGAAGTGTATGAGACCTTTGATAGTACAAGGATGAGATGGCCAGTCATGTTAGATGAAAGACCCCCAGGGTTCGTTTTTTTTAACTAGTTCCTATAATTAAAATATGATACATATATATATATATATATATATATATATACATATATATATATATATATACACAAATAAAAGTACCTAGCACATAATAATATTCAATAAATGTCCGTTGTCTTTTTTAGCAGGGTTCCCCACATGCTAGATTATATCAAAACATTACCCTTCTTTCATGAAATGAAACTCACCTAGAATACTAGGCAACTGAAAGTATAGTACAATTTGGATAATGCTAGTTAGTTGAGTACAAGGTCTCACTGTCTCCCCATCCTCTATATTAGAAGGGGGTGAGAGTTGAGTTTCCTAAGTAGCTTCCCTGGGGCCTAGTCCAGGCAGATTCTACATGGAAGGCTGTGAGCTGCAACTCTAGTGCACAGTCCTCTCTTTTTGGCGATGATAATCTAGGGGGAAGGGGGGAGAAAGAAAAGGAAGGACAGGGCAGGTTATTTTCAGGTCTGAGGTCGCAACTCCCCATTCCCAATGCATGTTGCTTCTAATAACCAGTATTTAGAGTTACTACATAGGTTCCTTCCAGGTAAGTATGAAAGTGAGTGCCACTTACTGTAAGGAAAGAAGCGGACGCGCATGCTGATTTCACGGGCTGTCTTCAGGATCTCAACAGCCTGGAAGGAACATAGCAGCTTGTACAAATGAAGAGATAAGGCTCAGGAGAGAACAACAGGGATAATTTGCTACTCCAACTTTCTGGGTCACTAACAACTACTTCCCTCTGGTACACTTCCTCAGGAGATGCTTTCATATCAAGTTACAGCTTAGGCTAATCCTGTCCAGTCTGTCCTACCTGGTATGGCTGCTTGCCTCATCACAGCTCACCTTGCTGTGCTCAATATCTTGGAAATCCACATCATTCACAGCTAGGACTTGGTCCCCTTCCTGAAGTCCTGCTCGATGTGCATCAGAGTCAGGAATCACCTGTAAGAATATGTGATTTGTGTGGGATCATTTCATAAGAGTCTAAGTGAAATTAAGCATTACTCAAATGTATGGTGCTACTGTTGGGGATTTGTGTGTGTGTGTAACAATGTAGGGAGACAAATGGTTTGACATATGGGAAATTAAAAGTTTGAAAAAGGGTATCCCATTTATGAAGCCCTGGTGGTATAGCAGTTAAGCACTTAGCTGCTAACTGAAAGGTCAGCACTTCGAAATCACTAGTTGCTCAGTGGGAGAAAGATGTGGACGTCTACTTCTGTAAAGATGTGCCGTGGAGTCAGTTCCGACTCATAGCGACCCTGTACAGGGTTTCTGAGGCTGTAAATCTTTACGGGAGCAGAAAGCTCCATCTTTCTCCCATGGAACAGATGGTAGTTTCAAACTAATGACCCTGAGGTTAACAGCCCGATTTGTAACCACTACACTACCAGAGCTCCTTTGGAAACCCTACAGGGTCGTTCTATTGTGTCCTATAGGGTCACTAAGAGATGGAATTGACTCGATGGCAATGGGTTTAGGTTTGGGTCCTCATTCTCCTAGTCCTTGAAACATCAGGATTCTACATTCTGACAACAAAGGGAAGTAGCTATTCATATTGCCTACCAGGCACACAAACCTTGGAGATGAAGATGCCTAGCTGGGAAGCCTTTCCTCCTCGAATGTTAAATCCCAACTGTAAAACAAAGGCACAAAATGGGGCTCGATATAGACCACAAACACATTTAGTAGCACCACTCTACTATACCTTGGTCTAATCCCCAGAGGGAAATTAGAAGTTATGAAAGAGGGAAATTAGAAGGTATCTCAATTTTCTCTCCACAAGAGGAAGTTTCCTTACCTCCTGACTTCTTTCCAAGCTCCCTCCCCCAAACCATGGCCAACCTTTGGTTGAAATTCAAAAAGTTCGTGGACAAATTATCTTTTAGTTCCATTTTTCCATGAACCTTTTGAAGTCCCCCTATAGGGACAGATGTAGCCTGGAATAAAAGACAACTGCTCCACAAGCTCACCTGAGCTCCAGGCGGCTTCTTCAGTGTGATGATTCGAGGTAGAAACTGGGTCAACTCATTGTTGTAATCTGGGTGGTATACCCTCTGCAAGACACAGCAACCTGAGAGACCTTGCTACCAATCTTAGACTTCATACCTACCTTCATTTGAAAAGAAATGCATCTGAGCCCCTCCCTTAGCTTATGCTTCAGTCCGGTACTTATCCTACATTACCCTGAAGTCAGGAAAAGGTAAAGTCACGGGCTTAGTTTAAGCAGAACAGACAACACTGCTGAAAATGTTGGATAGGGTGGAGAAGTACCTTCAAGTTTGCAGTTCCCCACCTATTCACATTCTGACAGATGGAAATGCTGGGACTCTGAATTTCCACAATGTGAGGCACTGGTGTGAATGGACCCACACAGGAGACTTCCAAAGGAGACTTCCAAAGGAAACTCCCAATGGCCCAATCGCTCAAAATTGAGTTTCTGGGTTCTCTGGCTACAACAAGGGTAAGACTAGCTCTCCACTTAGCTCACTAACGTTGCCATCCTATCTTTCCTGCCTCATTTCATGTCCTTGGGTGAAAATCTCCCATTTAAGACACACAGTTGGTTCCCACCTCATGAGGAGGGATCCAGGCTGGGGGATTCTCATAGGCAGGCAGGAAAACCACAGGGTAGTCATCATAAGGAATCCGGCTGTCCATTTCTGGCAAGGCCCTGGAATGGAAGGATGAATCAAAACAGACCCAAAGTGTGAGTCAAAAGAGACCTCCGAAGCTTCAGAAAGCAGCCCCAACCCATACCAAGATTGCCAGTCTTTTAAAATGGTTTTAAAATGGAGGAGAGAAGTTAGAAAAGAGACAGAAGGAAACTTTAATTTTGCTGAACACCTAGTAGATGCTACACACCTGCTTGGTACTCTATTGTTTTTAAGTCTCCAAGTCGGTTCTGACTCATAGCGACCCTAGGAGCAGCTAGTGGGGTTGAACCACCTCCCTATGTTTAGCAGTCCAACGCTTATCCCAGAATGCCACACCAGGACTCCAGGTGACCTAATTTCTCACAACAATCCTGTGAAGTAGGTGTTCCCATCGGTTTCGACTCATAGTGACCCTGTATAGGATTTCCAAGGAGCAGCTGGTAAGTTTGAACCGCCGACCTTGTAGTTAGCAGTCTAGTGTTTATCCTACAGTGCCACACGAAGAAGCAGTCAGGTCACATCTACAAAGATCTATACACTTCCGAAGTCCAAGAGAGTAAAACTATCCACAGGGACTTGGAGCCCAGCACTCCCTAACGTGATTAGAAATGGTGGGAGTTCCCAGATCGAACATTCCTACAGCATTAGCCACCTTCCTGCTCCCTGCTCTGCAGAGTGTGAGACTACCGAGCGCACCACCACAAAAACCCCTCACCACCTCACCCGTGGTCTTCTAGCACTCAATCCACTTGGGAACCGGAAGCAGATACGCGGAGGGGTCGGAAGCAGAGTCGTGCGCAGAGCCTTGCGCGCGCAGACGTACGTGCTCCGCTCGCAGGGTGTCTGCGTTCCGATTGGCTAGCGCCTCTGGGTCCGATTTGAAACTTGGCGGTTAAAACTCCTGTTGTGACTGGGCGGCTCTGGAGACCTGGGAAGGGGACGTTTAGTTTGGTAAGTTAAGAGACACATCTTAGCTCAGGATTTGCCTTTCCCGGTACCTTGGGGCTTTGATTCTTTGTCACTGTCTCTGGTTTGATTTGGTTTGGTTTTCTTTTGAGCACTTCACGCTTTTCAGGTTGTTGGGCTCGCTGGCAGACCCTTCGTGACCAAATCTGAGAGTGAATCGCCTGAGGTAGCTGTACTGCTGGGAGGGGGCGGTTGCTATCATTACCCCAGAGGTTTTTAACCTATCTTGCCCTTTGGGGAGGCCCGAAACCAAGGAAGGACGCTCTCCAATTCCTGCTGAACTACCCAGATTCTTCAGCCTCATCTTTCTCCCGCAGAGACAGTGTCGAAGTAGGATCATGAAGGAAGAAGTGAAGGGAATACCTGTAAGAGTGGCACTGCGCTGTCGCCCTCTGGTCCCCAAAGAAATTAGTGAAGGCTGCCAGACATGCCTTTCCTTCGTACCAGGGGAGCCACAGGTGCGTAGCAAAATCTTGACCTTTCCTTTAACAGCTGGGGCCAAATGGCAGCGAGGGGTGTGGTGGAGCCTTTCCATTTTTTCCCTTATGCCTGGTCTCTTGCCTTCTTTAGGTGGTGGTTGGCACTGATAAATCCTTTACCTACGACTTTGTGTTTGATCCCTCTACTGAGCAGGAAGAAGTCTTCAATACAGCAGTAGCGCCACTCATAAAAGGCATCTTTAAAGGTGAGACTGTATTTAATTCTTAGCATATATCAGGTGTCAGGCATTGTACTTGGGTGCTGCTGCAAAAACAGGGTTGGATGAAACATGATTCCTGACTCCAGAAAGCCCATACAGCCTTGGACCTAAACCAATAATATTTGTCAAAGTTTTTGTACCTTTGAAGGTACTTTTTACACTTTGCTTTCTGTGGTTGTGCTCATCTTTGACTTGTGTTATTTTTGTTTGTTCTGGAACCTCATTAGATTATAAGCTCTTTTGTGAGTGCTGTTGCTGATTAGTGTGCATGTTAGGAGAGATTCAAATATAAGTAACACTACAGTATCCGGGAGCTGGAGGAGTTCAAAGTCCAAGAGATAGAAGTAGATGACTGCACAAATGATTTCTAATAATTTTAAGTGTTTCTGCACCTACCTTTAAGCAAAAAAAAAAATCTTTAAAAGTTAAGACTATCCAACAGAATCAGCCCTGCTACTTTCATACAAAATGGTATGTAAATCAAAAGAATGGCATTAGCTTTGGTGAATCTGGGTGAATTTCACAGAAATTTGGGAGAAATTTCACAATACCTTTGAGATAGAGTGTGAATGATAAGCAGAATTCTAAGTAAAGTAGTAAATTTCCTAAAGCTCCTGAATACCATGGCCTGTTAATGTTTGTTGCAGAAGCTGAGGCTTTAATGTTGACGAAAACCATAGCAGGGTTTTATAGAACCTGAGAGGTGTGTAATTGTTATTCTAGATTCAAATCAGAGGTCTACTTCAAAGAAGTTGTTAAGTGTAGTCAAGTCACTTCTGACTTATAGCTACCCTGTATAGTGTTTCTGAGGAGTAGCTGGTGGATTTGAACCATGACCTTGTAGTTAGCAGTCCAGTGCCACACAAGGACCCCAAAAGAAGTAGAGCCACGGCATAATAGTTCCTTAATGTTGAAAGGGATATTTGTACATCATCTAGTTTTAACTTTCCATCTAAATAAAAATATTTTCTCACACGGTGTCTGTTAGATGAACTCGCAGCTTCTGCTTACTTTTTTTCCCTTTTGGCAGGGAATTCATTTGACTCTTAAATATTTGGCTTTTTTTTTAATGTTTTATTGTGAATTATATGATACTTTACATGGGCGAACCTTAGTCTTACATTCATTCCATCGTAGATCAT